CGGGGAAGAATGAGGAGGAGGGGGGAGGCGGTGAGAATGCTACCAGGGAGGACTCGGGGAAGAAGGGGGGCAGGTGGGAGGCGGCAGCTTTGAACACATTTGTGGGAAGACCACTCAAGGCTTCGTCCTGTACATCTGCTGATAGGGGAGGAGGGGGGACTTGTGCTCCCCTGGGGTGCCTGAGGAATTCCAGAGGAAGCTGAGCTTGAGCAAGTTAAGAGAGTACACAGGGAGTGGGATGCAGAGACCGGACCCCTGTCCATGCTGCGCGAGGTAGAAGGACGCGGCTTTGGAAAACGGCTCGGCAGATCTTGGAATGGTTAAATGGTACAGTAGGAGCTGGGGTTCTACTCCTAAGCATTCACCTGAAACAAAAAGGAAATTATGTCCACACAAAACATCAGGCAGTGCTTGTGACCACGTCATTCGTAATAGCCAGAAAGTCAGACAGCGCAGATGCTCGCAGCCAATAGATGCATGAACCACTGCCGTGTAATGGCGTATTATTTGGCAATGAACTGGAATGATACACAGGCAGAGAATCCCTAGTCCAGAAACCTGAAGTGCTTGGAATCCGACATGACAGCAAAACGCTTCTAGTTTGGAGCGTTTCCCTGGGTTTTGTGGGGAAGGCCAGTGCACTGGAGCGTCTGTACCGATGTTCCACCGTCTGAAGAACTTCTGGTCCCGAGCATCGTGGACCTGGACGCCTTAGCTGTGCCGATCCGCTGGGGACCGGAGCGTGGGCGTGTGCTGAAGTGACCGAGGTGCTCATTGTGCGAACTCGGGGTGTGTTCACAGCTGGGGACTTGTGCATTTTGAGTGCCTGTGATTCATACCCCTGGAGGCCAGGCTGGCGGGGCGGTGCCAGTGCCTTCCGTGTCCCTGCTCTCATGCACCGGCGTCCTTTCCCCACAGCTATGAGAGCGCCAGCATCCACACCTTCTTCCGGGAGAGCTGGTCCGTCTTCTGGGTCAAGATGGCCTCCTGCTGGACGTGCGTGCTGCTGTACCTGTGGACGCTGGTGGCGCCCCTGTGCTGTCCGGCCCGGCAGTTCTCTGTGTGACACCAGGTGCGATCTTCCTGATGCGTATGCCCCGGCCTCCAGGGGCGCCAGGCCTGGGAAAGGCCAGCACATCTTGCCCTTGTTGTGTGTCTCAAAAAGCTCTCAGGAAACCAAGCATCTCCTGATGTGCTTTTTAATTCACACATTAAAAAGAAACTGCTGTTTGTCTAAAGCAATTGAGATGTTCAACTGAAACGATCCTGGGATCCATGTTTTGATGTCTTGGCCCTCAGTGCTACCATGTTCCTTGGGTGCATCTTCACCTGCCCAGAATTTGGGGCTCACAGCTTCACCTAGAATGAGATCACCTCACTTGGCCTGACATTCACAGCCCTGCTCCTCACGCTCCTGCCTAGACCCCTGTCCCTGAGGCCCCACCCCCAACCTCCAGTGTTTCCCGGCCCAGAGGAGCCCCATCCTCAGCCCAGCCTCGGGGCCACCCTTCCTACTGTGATGCAGGCTGTTGCAGCCACCCCTCAGCTACCCTCTCCTTCCTGGGTCTGGCACCCTTGTCAAATGTGAACAGCACAGTTTGCCACCCGCCCGCCCTTGTGGCCCCTGCTGTCTAGGTCCCAGCTCATGCTAGGCATGGCCAGGTGTTCCCTTGTCAGCAACAAGGGCTGGGCTTGCTTCCTTTGTGTTTGCAGGGGTCTGGCACTGCACGGCCTCTAGCCCAGAGCGCTGCCGAGGCACCGTGGGGCTGTCTGTCCCTTAGCCTCCCCTGCTCCAGGCCTGTGAGATGGAGGAGGGCTTTGGCTCTGGGGATGTGTCCCTGGCCACCCCACTGTGCCTGTCAAAGTTTCCCTGAAGTGACACGCAGGTCCAGGCTGTCTGCAGGGTGGCTGTGGGAGGTGAGGCGTGCCGCTGGTCGTGCAGGGCCAGTGACGCCCCGGGTATTCCCAGAGCCCATGCTTGCGGTACCGTCTCTAAGAAGGAGGTCAGCCGCCACACGGTGCGCATGACCCCACCCACGCCCTGGGCAGGGAGGAGGCCCCTGCTGCTAGAAGTCCACAGGGGCAGCGCAGGACCATCCTGGGGTGCTTCCCACAGGCTGCAGCCTGGGCTGTGCTCGGTACTCTCTGTGCCACTGGGCAGGACTGGGCACACCTGCTGTCACGCTGGTTCATCAGGTCCTTCGCTTCCCTGGGATGCTGGGCAGCCCCTTCTCCAGCAGCCCCGGGAGCTGAGTTGGGCCGGGATGGATGGATGGTACAGCCACACGCCCCAGCCCTCCTCTGCAGAGAGCAGCTCGGGGAACATGGGTGACAGGGCTGCCCCTCAGGGCTTCCCGCGGCCCTGGCCTGGCCTCGCCTCCAGCTGGGCACATCTCGCCCTTCACGGATTCCTCTCAGCCAGGGCTCGCAGGGTCCCGGGCAGGGCCAGTGCAGGCCGTGGGAAGTGGGTCCACCCTTGCAGGGTTAGAAATCCCCCTCCATGGCGCTCTGGGACCTACGAAACTGGAAAACTGGTGCCAATCGCTTGAGCTTTGACACCAGAGGTGTTGATTTCCTGAACTCACAGTAGTTCTTGTGACACACAGTCCTTTGCCTCCTGCAAGGCTTTGTTGTTGGTTTTTAAAGTGTGTCCCCACACTGGGGGTGCTCCTTCGGGCTGTGCCGAGCTCTGTGCTTTCCTCCTGACACTCAGGTGGGATCTCGGCCTGCCCTTCCCCAGTGGGGGGACAGAGAGTGTCGCTGCCCTGAGGCCCCTGCCCAAGGCTACCTGTGTCCTCCAGGGCCAGGCTGTGGTCCCTGCTGGTGGCCGGGTTTCTGGCTTGCCAATGTCCTCAGTGTTTTCTGTGCAGAGTGGACAGCTGTGTGCTAGGCTGGAGGGAAGTGGCAGCGCTGTCCCTGAAGGACAGCCATCCTACGAAGTCCCCACTGACACTCCTTGCTCCTCTGAGAATCTCCACATGATAACTCCAGGGTAGTGCCCGTGCCGTCCCCTCCGCCTTTCTGAGACTCTGTGCTTACTTGACTGCGGCCAGCATATACCATGGGTGCTTCTTGTCCCCAGGGGCACATGAGCTGGACCGAGGCTCCTGTAGCCTGTGCTCTAAGCAGTGCTGCCCCGTCCACCTGGGAGCAGTGACAGAGGGTCGCCCACAGCCAGGAGTGTGGGATCCTGGCCAGGAGAGCAGGGCAGTGGCAGCCGCCATGCGGTACAGGCCTCCCTGCAGCCAGCTGGGTCTGCGTTTCCCCAGGGCAGGCTCTGAGGGTCCCTCCCAGCATGGTAGCTCAGAGCCCCAGAACTCTGTTCTCTTCTCTGTTAAGTTGCTCACTTTAACCTGGAAAGGTTCAAATACTTGCCTTTTACCAAAGAGGTATTTAGTTTTTTGTTTTAAAGCCAAGTCCTGTCAGGAAGAAATTGAACCAGAGAAGGGCAGGCTGGAAGCGTACCTTGACATCCTCTTCCATAGAAACGTAATCGGCGTCGGTGCTGGCTTTTCCCTGGAAAGCAGTTCTTTGGGGTAGAGGGAAACCCTCTCAGGTAGGACGTCTACAGCAGATGGGTAATATATGTTTTGAGAGCTATTTATAAAAGAAGTTTAAGGGGATTTTTTTTTATTAAAGATTTAACCTTTTATTTTGCAAATAAGAAAACTTTTATAGTCTCAATTTGTTAATTTTTAAAACTTTTTCTGAAACAGTTACCTGTAGCCAAATTTTGTGGTTACATTTTCTATTTTGGAATTTGTATTTTAGAATCAGAAAAGGCAGTGTATGTGGTAAAACTACTGTTTGGTGTTTGTAAAGGTCTCAGTAGGGATCAAGTTTACTAACTTCTAAAATTGTTATTTTTCCCCTTGAGTCAAAAAGCCAGTTATGGATTTGTATTTTTTGGATGCTAACATTTCTACAAAGCACCCTTGTTCACCAGTCTTTTCCTATGTAGAAGCCTCAACGCTTGTTAGCGCTGTACTTTAATAAAATGTAATGAAAAGCGACGCTGCCTTCTTCTCCTCTTCTGTCAGACTCCGGTCTCGTGCTGCCCTGCTGCCCCGACCTGGCCGGCTGCTTTGGCCCTGGTCAGTGCGGTTGTGTCTGCTGACCCCTCAGGCCACACAAATGGAGGCTGCGCTTCGCGTGTCCCGGAGGCGTTTGGCTACACCAGCCTCATGGAGAGCCATTTCCTAGCGTTCGGTGGGGGGAGTGCCGGGAACCCGCCCCAGTTGCCGCTCACAGCGCCCTTGCAGCCGGCACGTCTGTGCTGGGCTCTGGGCTTTGTTCCCCTGGGCTTGGCATGCGTGCGGCTGCTGGCCCAGGTGCCTGCTCCCCACAGCGCTGCCAGCCTCTCAGGGCCACTCTGAAGACTCCCGCAGGAGTGAGGCCGCAGGTGCTTTTCTTGCTGGGCCTGGCTGGCTGAACTCTGCAGGGTCCTCCACCGGTGTACCAGTTGTCACAAGTCATGAGAACTCGCTTTTAAAGACTGGCTAGTGTCCACTGTGTGAATGTCCCCATTTCTTGTTCCTCCTCTGGGGACTGAACCTTGGGGCCTCTGGGCTGAGCTACACCCCCACTCCTTCTGTAGTTTGAGATGCAGTCTTGTTAAGCGGCTGGGAGAAGCAGGGTTCAGATTTGTACCCTCTTGCCTTGGGCCCCCGGAGTAGGATCACAGGCGTGTGCCAC